ATATATATATATATGTATATATATATATATATATATATATATATATATATATATATATATATATATATATATATATATATATATATAATACTATGCATATACATACAATATGATATGGATGTTTACTAATGACAGAATATGACATGTTAACTATTCAGATAATGATATTGCAAGCAATAAAATGTTTGATACACATGGAGAATTAAGCTAAGTATTTTATTGATGATCACTGCCCTCCTTGTCACCTTCGTGGTGGACACGTAGTTTGAGTAATTGATCCAGTCTTGACAGCGTTCTCAGAATCTTCACATGTATGCACAACTATACTTGGTTTATCATCAACTGCTGGATGTAATTCATGTGCTTCACCTGAAAAAAAAAATCAATGTTTTCTAAAACAAATAAATGATTGGTTTCTGATCAGTGTGTATGTCAGTTCAAAGGGGGCACTGAAAAACATATCAGGACCAGAAAACCCTAACATCTGCACCAAAACTATCCATATTCACACCTTGCATGACTAAGGGACGACTAAAAGATTGATGTCGGATAAAAAACTTATTTGCTTTAGTTTGGGGGTGGGGGGTTTTTACCTCAAAAATTTCCATCCTACAAAAACGATATAATTTTTTAATGAAGTCAAACAAATTTTGGCGCATTTGTAGATTTTTTCTATCCAATCATGGATGAAAAAAACAACATCCAAGACGAGAAAATGGTTTGGTCCGAGTGTAAATATGTGCGTCAAATGAGGTAAATTTCAGGGCATGGACCTATAGCATGTGCATAACCCAGAAAAGTAGTTTGCGTATGCGTATATTCCCCTTTATTACAACCAACTGCTATGCCATACTACTGTCCGATTATCAATTCATATTTAATGATCAATATTTATCAATTAAGTTTCAGTGGGGGGTGGGGTGGGGTGGGGGGTTTGGGAAAAAAAATAAAGGAATTAAAATTTTTTATCCTACATTGAACTTTTGATGTTGTCCCTAAACATGTTTACACTATCCAAAATAATACAAATTTAGCTGACAACCCTATGCAACAAGCCACTGGTTGGCCATTTTGAATACATTCTGTATAGCTATGACATGATGTATAGTAAATATTTGAACAAAATCAGTCAACGCAAGTCAGAGATATCATGTCATTCATTAATCAAAGAAAGCTTAGAAAGAACTCCCATGTGCTGAGACTATTGGAAACACATTAAATATAATTCGAAATTACTTAGCTGAAAACTAATTATGCAAATCAGAAAATTAATATGACCAGATTTGAGTGTAAAACTAATGAGGTCTGCGCAATGTAACAGAAAATCTATGTCTCCAAGTTTAATTGAAATGTGATTAGAACCAAAAAA